CCTGGTTTGGATGCCCAGTTCTGGCTCATGGCCCCAGTTTCCTATTAATGTAGATGCTGGGAGACAGTAGTGATGGCTTAAGTCACGCGTTTGTGTCATGCATGTGGGAAACCTGGATTAGGTTCATGGTCCTCAGCTGTGACCTCAGTGTAGGTGCTTTGTGGGCATTTGGGGGTAATCCAGAGGATGGGTGCTCTCTGTATCTGTCCTTTTGCCTCTAATTTTTAAATAAATATTTTAAAACATTTTTAAAAACATAACACAGTAGATGTCCAAAATCTGTAAAATTAAGTTAGTTATTTCCCTCTTCCTACAAAGTAGCAGATAACAGAGCATGATAATCTCTCTGTGTAAACGTACCAAGCAATGTTCAGTCTCAGATAGGTCAGGAACAAAAGAAAACCAAGGAAATGCTAAGAAGCTGTCCACGAAAACACTGCATGAGTAGAATTCACTCTAATGTCATTAGTGAAAAACAAAACAAACCAAAAAGCCCTCACATCTTTAGAATTAAAGTTTAAACATAGGTAAGATTGGGGAGATACAGGTAGTTTCAACATTGTCGATAATACTCGGTTTTTAATTTGAGTGCTAAATTCATGGTTGTTATTTTTCATAGTTTAGTTCATAATAATTTGTTTTACATGTGCCAAATAGTAAAAATAATAAATTCTTTTTTACCAGTTTATGCCTTAAAAGGATGAATTTTACAAACAATATTTAAGTAATGCTTACCCATTTAGGCTTGCCATTTTTCTCATTAGGGAGGCAGTCATTGTCAGAAGGTGGCAGTGTAGGACTTTTTATCCCAAATGACAGAAAATAATTTAAATTTTACCAAAATGTAGCCTTTTCTAGATGTAGGCTTTAGGGATACTTTCAGTCCTGTAACTTGCTGTTGTTGGGGGTATCTCATTAGGAAATTAGCTGTAATGCAATACTAATGTGAACATTTTAATTGGGAGATCATGCATATGTGAAATTAACCTTAGATACTTTTATTTATTTCCTTTCAATGATGTTGAACATTTTTAACGTAGCACTCTATTTGTATTTGTAGAAAAGTAAATTGTAGATGGAATAATGGTACTGGTCTTTAAGGTTTTGGATATATAACAAATGCTGTTCAAGATTCAACATATACAAAACCTATATTTGCAGTTCATCATGAACTAATAATCTTCAGTAAATAACAAAAAAGAATCAATTATCAGAAGTGAATCCACATGGAAGAGAATGCAGAAGTCAAACTTGACTCCCTGGAGGCAACAACAGGCATCTGGCAGAAGAATGAAATGGCAATATTTATCAGAAGGTAAAAATGACTTATGCTTTTACCAAAGTAGTCAACATTATACTCATATTCAGAGAAAATAATCAGGAAAATGTAAGATTATGTTATTTAGTAATATCATAATTAAAATGATTAGTTTTATTGAAAATATATTTGGACCTCTAGATAAGAGTAAGGATTTTAACTTTTAATTTTAGTGAAAATAACTAATTTAAAATGTATTTAGTTACTGTTTATGTATTGACATTTGAATAACTCATAATCATTTTTACACTAATAGTCACGTCAATTTTTATAATTTTTAGTTTATTTAGCTGTGAGGCAGAGTTACAGAAATAGAGGAAGAGACAGAGAGAGGTCTTATATCTTTGCTTAATTACTACAATGGTTTTATGGCCACAATGGCTAGAGCTGGGCCGATCTGAAGCCAGGAGCCAGGAGCGTCTTCCACATCTCCTATGTGGGAGCAGGGGCCCAAGAAGGGAGCTGGCTCAGAAGTGGAGAAGCTGGAACTTGAACTGGTGCCCATATGCGATGCTGGCTCTGATGGCAGAGGCTTAACCTACTATGCCAAAGTGCCATGCTTGCGCATTTTGTTTTAAGATGACTTCAGATATACCAGTCTCAGGATATAAGTAAGTCCCGAACTATTTTATAAAATACAGATATTGCACAGAGCATTAAAATGGCATTGAAAAATGTTTGTTGTGGTTAAAGTCTATATACTCTTCTGAAATGGTTGTATAATAACTGAAAGTTGAAAAATGTTATTTTTTTCTTTTTCTGTTCTTTCATTAAGGTAAACAAATTTCATGTATTTCTATATATGCAGATTTAGGAACATAGTGATAATTCCCAGCGTATGCTCTTTCCTGCCAATGCTCCCACGCTTCCTCTTCACTCCTCTCTTATTCCCTCTCTCAATTTTTATAAAGATCTACTTTCAGTTTACTTTATACTCATAAGTTTAATCCATCACTAAGTCAAGATTTCAACAAATAGTATGAAGAAACAAAGGACTGTTCCTCAACGGTAGAAAAAAGAGCTGTAAACAATCATTGACTCTCACAATGTCAATTTCACTCCTATACATTGCATTTTTGGTACTCTATTATAACCACAGTTCAGGGAAAACATATGGTATTTATCTTTTTGGGACTGGCTTGTTTCAGCAAGTATAGTGGTTTCCAGGGAAAAGGATTTCATTCTTTTTTATGGCTGAGTGGTATGCATATTACGTATGTACAATGATGTCTCTATCCACTCGTCAGATGATGGACATCTGGGTTGATTCTACATCTTAGCTATTGTGACTTGAGTTGCAATGAACATGGGGGTGTAGATCAGTTTTTCGCATTCTGCTTTCATTTTTCTTGGGTAAATTCTCAGGAGTGGGATTGCTCGGTCATACAGTATATTTATTTTCAGCTTTTTGAGATATCTCCATATTTCTTCCACAGTAGTTTTACTAGTTTGCATTCCCACCAACAGTGGATTAGGGTACATTTCCCCCCACATCCTTGCTAGCTTTTATTGTTTGTTGATTTCTATATGAGATGTCTTTTAACTGGGATGAAGAGAAACCTCATTGTGGTTTTGATTAGCATTTCCCAGATGGCTGTGATTCTGAGCATTTTTTTCATGTGTCTGTTGGTCATTTGAATTTCTGCTCTTGAAAAATGCATGTTCAGACCCTTTGCCCAATTCTAAACTGTATTGTTTGTTTCGTTGTTTTTGAGTTTCTTGAGCTCTTTATATATTCTGGATATTAATCATTTATCAATTGCATAGTTTGCATAATGTTTTGTCCCATTTGGGTGGTTCCCTCTTCGCTTTTCTGTGTTTCTTTTGCAGCGTGGAAGCTTCTCAGCTTACCTTAATAATATTTATCAATTTTGGCTCTGATTGTTTGTGCTCTGGGGTCTTTTCCAAGAAGTCTTTGTCTATGCCAATGTCTTGGATTTTCCCCAGTGTTCTCCTGTACTTTTAGCCAGAGAAATTGGCAAGAAAAAGAAGCAAAGCGATACAAATTGAAAAGGAGGTAGTCAAATTATCCCTATTTGCAGATGACATGATTCTATATATAGGGGAACCAAAAGACTTGACTAAGAGACTATTGAAAATCATAAAAGCATTGGGTAAAGTGGCAAGATAAAAATTAACACACAGAAATCAATAGCCATTGTATACACAGACCATGGCATGGCTGGGAAACAACTTCTTTGATCAATTGCATTCACAACAGATACAGAAAAGTTAAATATCTTGGAATCTACAATGAAAGTATAAAACATTAAAGAAAGAAATAGAAGACAAAAATTGAAAAACCTTCCATATTCGTGGATTGGAAGAATATCATCAAAATGTCCATACTACTGAAAGTAGTTCACAGATTCGGTGCCACCCTAATCAAAATACCAACAACATTCTTTGTAGATCTAGAAAAAATGATGTTAAAATTCATATGGAAAAACAGGAGACTCTGAATAACTAAAGTAACTCGTATACAACAAAAGCAAAGCCAGAGGCACCACAGTATCAGATTTCAAAGCATACTAAAGGGCAGTTATAAACAAAACAGCCTGGTACTGGAGCAAAAATAGACATGTAGAACAATGGAACAGAAAATAAACTCCAGAAATCAATCTATGCATCTACAGCCAAATTATTTTAGAGAAAGGAATTAAAAACTGTCCCTGGAGAAGGAACAGTGTCGTTAAGCATTGTTGTTGGGAAAATTGGATCTCTACATGCAGAATTATGACAATTATACCTCACATAAAAACAAACTCAAAATGGATAAAGGTTATAAATCTATGATGTGATAGCATGAAAGTACTATAGGAGAACACTGGAGAAACTCTGCAAGACATTGGCATAGGCAAAGACTTCTTGGAAAGGACCCCAAAAGCATAGAAATAAAAGCCAAAATAGAGAAATGGGATTACATCAAACTGAGAAGCGTCTGCACTGCAAAGGAAACACTCAGGAAAGTGACTAGACAACCAAAAGAATGGGAGAAAATACTTTTATTTTACTGTATTTCTTACTTTTTTCATGATCTATAGTTCTGTTTTTAATTCTCTTAAGTCTTGTGATCACATAATTTAGAGGTTTTGTGCTAATGTATATCTCCTCTACAGTAGTCCTTCCAATAGCTTGGCAAAAGCACCGTTACTAAACACGAGTACACAGTAGCTCCTCAGTTTTATGGGTTTCCAAATGGCTGCTTATACACAATTCTGAATTTTAACCTAGTCTAAGGTCGTAAAGAATTCAGCAGGAAGTTTTACTTGTTACTCCGCCTGGTCATGCTGACATTCAAAGCACCAGACCTTACAGATCATCTATAAAAAGTGAGAAGTGTTAAATATTCTTTATTTGATATCATAAACCATACGAAAATGCCTTTCAGTGAGTAAAAGGCAGAAGTTTAGATACAGGAAATTCTAATGAGATCGACACAGCTAAGACCAGAAATACGAAGTAGACATTCCCAGCTGTCTTCAGCTCTTGCCTTTAGCAGGTAAAGAACAAGTGACCTTGCTCAGTTCTGAGACGGTGATCTCCCCAGCATTCAAATCTAAATCCAATCTCCCAACAGGTTTTGGGATGACATTCAGAATTTTTGTTAGTTAAGTCCAATCATATTTTATAAGGGGAAAACAGTGAGGGCATTTACTGAACTGGAATTAATAAATATTTAACCACACAAGGCAATATTAGACTGTTGGACAAAAATATTCTGTCAGCCATTCATGATCTGAATTCTGGTGTATGAGAATTAAATTATGGTGCACATAAAAAAAAGTCACAGGACATTGCTGTTTTGTAATAAATAAGGCAGTGGCCAACTATTACTCATTAGTAGTTTTTGGAATAAGCTATCAAGTCTGCCCTTTCATTCTTCTTCTTAATGCCAGCGAAGATCGCTTTGGTCCCAGGGCTGTATTTCTTGGGATTCTCCAAATACTCCATCAGAGTGTCCTCTCCCCACATGATGCCTTTGTTCTTGTTGGCATCCGTGTAGGAGAATCCAATGGCCTGACCTGTCTTCCACCCAAACAGACCATGCAGATTTGGTCCAGTCTTGTGCTTGCCTCCCTTTTCCATAGTGTGGCACAGGGTACATTTCTGAAAAAAAATTTTGCCTTTTTCAACATAGCCCATTTTTAACTGGCTAGTGTCACTTGTGCCCCAAAGGCCCAGACTGGGAAGCTGGACGTCCCGCTCTCTAACTGTATTTCTTATTATAACCCCATTAGTGGGCTGTTTTTATTGAGGTGGAAAAATGTAGGACTCAGCCATGTCCTCTAAGAGTGAAGAGTATGAAGTAAATAAATAGAATAAAAGAAATAGAAGGCAAAATTTTTTAAAAAAACCTTCTATGATCATGGTTTGGAAGAATTAATGTCATCAAAATATCCGTACCACTGAAAGCAGTTTTTTAAATTCAGTGTCATCCTAATCAAAATACTGATGACATTCTCTCAGGTCTAGAAAAAAAAAAAAGATGAGAAAGTTCATATGGAAATACAAGAGACCCCAAATACATACAGAATAAAGCAATTATATACATCGCTATGTACTACCTGTGGGGCATGATAGCAGAAATAGGATCAATGTAAAAATGAATCAAGAGAGATACAGGCTGACTTGAAGGTAGTTATGGATTTCCAATTCCAACAACAGCAATGTCCCCTTATTGATGCACTATAAGACTCTCATGCACCTACCTCCATCCTTCATAGTGTTCTGAACTATATTAGTTACTTGAACTTGGCTTGGACTTTGAGAGCTTTGGATACAAGTCACTTCTGTGAATTTCTGAAACTCAAAACAGGAAAATACTTTCCCAGGGATAAAGATAACATTTGAACTAGAGGAGACCAGCACCTCTGCTTTCATCTCATCCCTGCCAGTGTCTCTTGTCTGATGTAGAGCTCTTTTTTTTTTTTTTTTTTTATAACACAGCAGGACATGCTGCATCAACCATGGAAATATTGATATGCAAGGTGTTGAAGAGCATCTGGTGAAAATGACAAACAAAGCAGGAAGACTATCTTCCAAGAAGTTCTCTAAATTGGCTCCTGAGATTTTCATATCTGAGATAGCCCTGTATAATCTAAGCCAGAAAACATAAAAAAAAAAAAAAAAAACAACTTCTAAGTTCTATGCTACATATGCCACCTGCCAATAATCATTAGAGTTTCATAAGATATTGTTTACACTTCTAAACATTTATGAAATTATTTTCCAAAACACATGGAACTCCATCAGAATGGGTAGTTTAAAGCATATGTAATGTTCATTTTCAGTTCATTGCAGTAGTGATAATTAGTTAAATCTTTTCCTGGACATTGCAATATTGTTCTAAAGAGAATTTGGAGGGAGGAATGTATTCTTTCAGCAAACATCAGCAACATCAGAGAAAAACATCATCTCTAGGTGATAAAAATATTATATTCATGCCCGATGCCATCTATTCATGGACTTATTGATTCAGAGATCTCCAGAGGCAATAATACATCTATAAAATGCACTTGAGTGTTAGTTTTTTTTCAGGTTTGAGGAAGCAATAGTCCAACAAATACCTCTCAGCCCACAGATACAGCTCTGTGTAACTTAGTACTGTTAATGTTGATAGTATTTATGCTCAAAATTTGGCCTAAAGTTCTATCTTACTAATCATATTGGAAATAAATATTAAGAATTGCATATTTTTGTCTTCACAAAATTTGTATGTGGTCGTATTTGGTCAAGTTGTTAAGGTGTCCCATATTGGAGTACCTGAGTTTGATTATTGGCTCCAGTTTTCATTCCAGCTTCTTGTTGATACAGACCCTGGAAGTGAGTGGAGATGGTTCAAGTTGATGAGTCCTTGCCATCTTGTGGGAGGCCCAGATAGACTTCACAGCTCCTTGCTTTGACTCTTTCCAAACCTGGTTGTTGCAAGCACTTGGAGTGTGAGCCAGTGGATGAGATTTCTCTATTCTGTGTGTCTCTTTTTCTGATCCTTGAATATATACATATATTTAAAATATATGCTGAAATATCCCCCAATGTGATGACATTAAGGGGCAGGACTTTTGGGAATTAGTTGGGTCTTGGGAGTAGGTACCTCATGAATGGGATTAGTGCCTTTACAAAAAGAAAGTAAAGGTCTCACTCTCTCTCTGCCTGTGAGGCTACAAGGAGAATTTGGGAATTTAAAGAGCGTCTTCCCCAGATTGCAATCATATTGGCTCTTAAACCTTGGACTTCCCAGATTTCAGACCTATGAGAAATATTTACCCATTATTTACAAGCCACTCAGTGTTTAGTATTTTAGTATGGCATCCTATACAAATATAGGATAGTTTCCTCATAAATTTTACTGCAAGCATGATTGTGTTGTCATATGGTTCATTCACATATGATCTTATTTTCTTCAGATCATCTTGAATTGTAAGTACAAAAGTACATAACAATGAATTTTAAAGGAAAATTTTCATATTTATATTTTGAGATAGATTTTGGTTAATAATAGCCTGATAATTCCAAACTAATTTTCTTATTTGGGTAGTTCATATAAGGAGTCTCCATTTACAGAACTTGCTTTCCCTACTGGTTGTTTTAGACATGATACATATGTCATAGGAACTTGAAGGTGAAACTTAATTTTACATAATAAGTAATTATTAACCAAGAGTTAATTATTAACCAAGGATTAAGTTTAGTATTTGTTTTTTGTTCTTTTGGAATTTTCCAATGAGATTTATTTTTACTTGATACACCTCTGGTTGAGCTTTAAAGAGGCTGACGTTAAATTAATAAGCTATATATGTAACTTAAATTAATAAGCTATATATGTAACTCAAGAAGTCTGACTTTTTCAGGTTTTTTGCATTGCCAAAAGAACACAGAAATTTTATCTTCTTTTTCTCTTGTGCAAAAACTGTTACCACAACTTAACCATATGAGAGTATTTTGTAATAATAATTAAAATCTGAAAAATATTTCAAATATATCAGCATGAGTAATATTAGGGAATTCTCTTTGTATCCATTATACTTGTGTTAATTCTTTTTTTATTTATATTTTTTAACTTTTATTTAATGAATATAAGTTTCCAAAGTACAGCTTATGGATTACAATGGCTTCCCCCCCCATAACGTCCCTCCCACCCACAACCCTCCCCTGTCCCACTCCCTCTCCCCTTCCATCCACATCAAGATTCATTTTCAATTCTCTTTATATACAGAAGATCAGTTTAGCATACATTAAGTAAAGATTTCAACAGTTTGCTCCTACTCAGAAACATAAAGTGAAAAATACTGTTTGAGTACTAGTTATAGCATTAAATCTCAATGTACAGCACACTAAGGACAAAGATCCTACATGAGGAGTAAGTGCACAGTGACTCCTGTTGTTGACTTAACAAATTGACACTCTTGTTTATGGCATCAGTAATCAACCTAGGCTCTTGTCATGAGCTGCCAAGGCTATAGAAGCCCCCTGAGTTCACTGACTCTGATCATATTTAGACAAGGCCATGGTCAAAATGGAAGTTCTCTCCTCCCTTCAGAGAAAGGTACCTCCTTCATTGATGACCCGTTCTTTCCACTGGGATCTCACCCGTGGAGATCTTTCATTTAGGGTTTTTTTTTTTTTTTTTTTTTTTTTTTTTTTTCCCAGAGTGTCTTGGCTTTCCATGCCTGAAATACTCTCATGGGCATTTCAGCCGGATCCACATGCCTTAAGGGCTGATTCTGAGGCCAGAGTGCTGTTTAGGACATCTGCCATTCTATGGGTCTGCTGTCTATCTCACTTCCCATGTTGGATCGTTCTCTCCCTTTTTGATGCTATCAGCTAGTATTTGCAGACACTATTCTTGTTTATGTGATCCCTTTGGTTCTTAGTCCTATCATTATGATCAATTGTGAACAGAAATTGATCACTGGGACTAGTGAGATGGCATTGGTACATGCCACCTTAATGGGATTGAATTGGAATCCCCTGGTATGTTTCTAACTCCACCGTTTGAGGTAAGTCAGCTTGAGCATGTCCCGAATTGCACATCTCTTCCCTCTCTTATTCCCACTCTTATATTTAACAGCGATCACTTTTCAGTTAAGTTTCAGCACTTAAGAAGAATTGTGTATTGATTACAGTATTCAACCAAAAGTATTTGTAGAACAAACAAAAAAAAATTTACTTGTGTTAATTCTATAGTGCTTACAGTGGGAAGTAAGTCATCTTATCATGAAAATATTGTCTAATGAACTGACTTCATAAAATTAATACCCATTAAGCATCTCTCCCTATTTGAAACAAACCTTTATCTGTCCATTGATCAGGGTCTTATTAATCTTTTTAAAATTTTATTTAAGCTACATAAGTTTTATGTATTTTGTATATGCAGATTTAGGAACATAGTATCACTTCTCCCCCGTAATTTTTGGGGATATCTTAAGTTTTTCATAAGTCAGGAAGACACAAACTCCTCACATGGTACTCTTACCTTTACTGCTTCAAAATATACAGTCATGTGTACTTAATCTCTGCTGGTGCTATGATTTACATTTTTCTGACTTCACAATAGTACAAAGATACACATTCAGTAGAAATTTTACTTTGAATGTTGACTTTTGATCTTTTCCCAGGATAGTGATACGCAGTTACCATACCCCACAATGCTGGGCAGAGCCAGTGAGCCAAAGCTCTCAGTCAACCACAAGTCTACAGTGCTAGATAACTGATATTGTAGACTGTGTTGCCAGCAATTTTCTTGGATACAAGCATTCAATTCAAATCTGATATTCAATACTTTAAAAATAGGCTTTGTGTTAGATGATTTTCCCAACTATAGGTTAATGTAAATATTCTAAGCATATTTAAGGGGGGTTAGGATAAGATATTAAACATGCTTTCAGTTTAAGATATTTTGAATTTAATATGCGTTAATAGGAACATAATCCTATCATAATTTGAAGAGCACCTGTATTATCCCTATCCAGGCGATACTCCTCCAACTGGACCTTTGCTATTTAGTTTGTGTCATTGCTTCTGTAGGTTTGAACTGTCCCTTCCTCTCTCTCCACATCATGACTATAGAGGGTCAAGACTGCTCCTCTTAAAAAGGCAGTCCAGTAAATGATAATTCATGTAAAATAATAAAGATCATCAAA